AAGCTGCTCTAGTGACTTATGCTTGAAAGGGAAGTTACATGCTTGGCTTCGTTTTAGATCATCGTAAACAAAAAGAATCTCTATATTTGGAGCAAGTCAATCACCAAAGGGAAACTCGGTGCTTCAGGTGGATTGTTCTGTCCTTCACCTGTGTAGGAAAAGAGCTTTAATTCCATGAGATCAGTGTACAGTGCAACAACCACAAGGCAGAACTGGAAAGGGAAGGAAACGATGATCCCAGGATCAAGAGGATGCTAGCTGTGAGTAAGTTGTGTCAGACTAACCACCCTGTGTTGAAGCAGTTCAGAGAATAAAAGCTATGTATATATCTGTTAAGATTTCATACAGAATTTTCAGTTGATTGTGGTATGGACGAGATAATATGGCAATTGGAAAACAGCAACTTACCTGATGATGTTGTATAACCATTACTCATTCCAATGTCCTTATCAGTCTGAAAGGAGATTTTTGGAGCCAACTCTACCACCTGTTGCTTGCCTACTTTGGACAAAAGGTCTCTTCCTCTAAGTGCTTCTGAGAGCCATCCATTTCTCTCCGCCTCACTGCACATCTTGGTACCAGTCCTGGCTGTTTTTCACCTGGGGCCATGGAACAGCCAATCTCTTCCTATAGTCTGGCTTCCCTCCACATTTAAAAAAAAAGATGTATTTATTATTTATTTGAAAGGCAGAGTTGGAGAGGGAGAGAAAGATTATCCATCTGCTAGTTCAATCCCCAAATGGCCAGGGTTGGGCCAGGAGTCTGGAACTCCATCCAGGTCTTCCACATGAGTGGCAGGGGGGTCCAAGTACTTGGACCATCCACTGCTTTCTCGGGCACATTAGCAGGGAGCTGAATCAGCAGTGGAGCAGCCAAGACTCAAACTGGTATTCACATGGGATGCAGGCAGTGGCTTACCCTGCTGTGCAAAAATGCCAGCCCCTCCCCACATTTTAAAAGAGTGCCCATCTTTCTTGCTTTGCTCAGTTTATGCCTATTGTCCTAGGAAAAACAGTAACAAAGCCCTTTTCATTCTCAAAAGTGCCCCTCCCCACTCCCATTGGGTGAAATGGCATGCCTGATTTAACCAGTGCAATGCCAACCACATCACTCCCTTGCTTAACCTTTTCTGAAGCTTCCCTCTGCCTTGCAGTAAAGCACAAATTAATTTGGCATGGCATTTTAACTTTGTGATATTCACTAAATTGTAAGTTACATGAGGGAGAAACTATTTTGGTCTGTTTTGTTAATTGCTATAAACTCCATTTGTTTTCCCAGCACTGTGCCTAGCACATAAAGGCACTCAAACACATGCTGACTGATTTGTTTTTAATGGGCCCACAGATGGGCACTGCCAACCCTCCCCACCTTCATCTCTGCCTTCTCCCATTCAAGCCTAATCTTCAGGCAGACTGTACTGTTTTCAATTCCTTTCTCTCCTCAAGGCCTTTCCATATGTCCCTTCCTGCTGTCTCATGTTTTCCTCCTTTTTCTACCTCCACCTCTCTCATCTCCCTAATTTCCTGCCAATTCCTTTATGGTCCAGCTTTCAGATCACTTCCTCTGGGAGGCCATCTCCAAGCCTCTGGTGGAGAAATTCTTCCTACTGTGTGAGCCCACACTAACCCACACTACTGTTCACCACAGTTCTAGGCTAATACTCACCAGACTTTTCATTTAAGGATTCTTTAATCTCCATCTCTCTCTCTGCTGTTTGCTCTGCGATAGCACTTATACTCAGTACCAATATTCAGATGCCTAGGTCAGTATCTATCATCTGGGAAGCAATTAATAAATAACTGCCAAATTAATGAAAATAAGCTAATAGGCTTTAAAGTGTAGTGTGGAGGCTGACATTGTGGGGTAGCCCATACAGCTGCTGCCTGTGGTGCCAGCATCCCTTACAGGTGCTGGTTCAGGTCCTGACTGATCCATTTATGATCCAGCTCCCTGCTAATGCACCTGGGAAAGCAGCAGAAGTGCTTGGGCCCCTGCACCCACGTGGGAGACCCAGATGAAGCTCCTGACTCTTGGCTTCAGCCTGGCACATTCCCGACTGTTGCAGCCATTTCAGGAATGAACCAGCAGATGGAAGATCTGTCTTAACGCTGCCTTTCCAATAAATAAATAAATCTTTTAAAATTTTTTTTATTTTTTTTTATTTTTTGACAGGCAGAGTGGACAGTGAGAGAGAGAGACAGAGAGAAAGGTCTTCCTTTGCTGTTGGTTCACCCTCCAATGGCCGCTGCGGCCTGCGTGCTTCGGCTGGCGCATCGCGCTGATCCGATGGCAGGAGCCAGGTGCTTCTCCTGGTCTCCCATGGGGTGCAGGGCCCAAGTACTTGGGCCATCCTCCACTGCACTCCCTGGCCACAGCAGAGAGCTGGCCTGGAAGAGGGGCAACCGGGACAGAATCCAGCGCCCCGACCGGGACTAGAACCCTGTGTGCCGGCGCCGCAAGGCGGAGAATTAGCCTAGTGAGCTGCGGTGCCGGCCAAAGAAATTTTTTTTAAATAAAATGCTATGCAAAGATGAAATGGAATGATAGTCTTGCCTTACTCTGCACTGGGTTATGTTCTTGTCCTGGGTAACATAATCCCTGCCTACACAGAGAAAAGCAATCCAGATGGTCAAGAGACTACACAACAGCAACTGACAAAGTTTAGCCTAGGAAAGAGGAAATGAGAAGGAAGGAGAAAGAAAACAAAAGACATAACTATATTCAAATTTCCAGAACAAAAAATCAACCATGTTTCGTATGGCTCTGATGAGACCAGAGGAAGAAACTTGAAGAGCAACAGGTTTGGGCTTTTTTTCCCCATATCTTCCATCCCCTGATTCATTCCTCCCTGTTGGCTACAACAGCCAGAGCTGGGACAGACTGGAGCAGGAGCCTCATCCAGGTCTCCCACATGGGCGCAGAGGCAATCCTCCACTGCTTTCCCAGGCCATAAGCAGGGAGCTGGATTTGAAGTGGAGCAGCTGGTACAGGAACAGACACCCAAATGGGATGCCTGCACTGCAGGTGGCGGCTTTACCCACTACAAAACCAGACCCAGGTTTGGGCTTCTTTAGAGTCAAAGCTACCTGAAAATAAACATGTTGTCTGGGAGGTTCTGAGTCTCCTATCTCCAAAAGCATTCATAATAGGCCAAGTTATGACTGGGTAGAAATGTGAAGTAAGTAGTAGGGAATAAAAGTAGTGAAAACAACAAAACATCAAAAAAATATATATATAGGGCCGGCACCTGCGGCGCTGGCATCCCATATGGGCACCAGATTCTACTCCCAGTTGCTCCTCTTCCAGTCCAGCTCTCTGCTGTGGCCTGGGAGTGCAATGGAGGATGGCCCAAGTCCCTGGGCCCTGAACCCGCATAGGAGACCAGGAAGAAGCACCTGGCTCCTGGCAGCGCGCCGGCCATGGCAGCCATTTGGGAGTGAACCAACGGAAGGAAGACCTTTCTCTCTGTTTTTCTGTCTCACTGTCTATAACTCTACCTGTCAAATAAATAAATAAAAATCTAAAAGAAAAGATAAAATAAAAAAAGTAGTAAACATCAAAATAGCTGAGCAACTTGGTTAGATTGGGAACAAAGTGTGAAAAAGGCCCCAATGTGTTCCTCATAGAGCTAGCTGGGCATTCACGTGTATGGGAAGGAAAAGCAGCTGCATCCAGTAAGACAAAAAGCCAAGTGTTATGTGTAGACTGCTAAAGGGGATTCACTCACAGAGAAAATTAAAATCGCAAAAATGTGGACAATGGCGATCCACTCTTCTTTGAAAATACAATAAAAAAAAAGTACAAACAGATATTGGAATCAGTAGTCAGCTTTTAATAGGAACAAAGAAAGATGAGTTATGGCCAGTGCCGTGGCTCAATAGGCTAATCCTCTGCCTTGCGGCGCCAGCACACAAGGTTCTAGCCCCAGTCAGGGCACCGGATTCTGCCCCGGTTGCCCCTCTTCCAGGCCAGCTCTCTGCTGTGGCCAGGGAGTGCAGTGGAGGATGGCCAGTGCTTGGGCCCTGCACCCCATGGGAGACCAGGAGAAGCACCTGGCTCCTGCCTTCGGATCAGCGCGATGCGCCGGCCGCGGCAGCCATTGGAGGGTGAACCAACGGCAAAGGAAGACCTTTCTTTCTCTCTCTCTCTCTCTCGCTCTCTCTCTCTCTCTCTCACGGTCCACTCTGCCTGTCAAAAATAAAAATAAATAAAAATAAAAAATAAAAAAAAAGATGAGTTGCTTTAAATCTAGATTAATGTTTGATAGTGCTTCTGTTCATAAGCTTAGCTTCTGAAGAACTAATAAGTAAAAGAGCAAAAGCAGGCAAGGAGGTGAGTTGACAGCCACTTAATTCCATGAGCATGAACACCTCAGACCAGCGCATCTCCTTCATCCACACTCCAAGTCGCTAGTGCTCAAGCGCATGTCTTCCTGGGCCCACACCAGGACTGCAGGTGACAGACAACACTGATCGATGTTTGAAGGCTGTGTCGTTTTGTTGATCCAGAGGGATAAGAAACAAACTCTTGGTTGTTGTGTCTGAAATAGCCAGGCCTATCTCATTAAATGTATCCTGTCACCAGGGAGCGGGACCACTCTCTCAAGAGGGCTTTGAAAGGCCTTTTTTTGTTTTTGTGGTTTTTTTTTTTTTTTTTTTCAGCTTGCACACAAGTTTTAACAGCACAGTTTTACATAGAATGCTAAGAGCACTTTTCTTTGTATTTTACAGAAGGGGTTGAAACATATGGACACTTTCTATTAATATTCATATCATAGCACATCCAAATCTCCCAAATAGGTCTATTATGGTTTGTTTAGAATTTAAAGGCTTCATGGTAATAATCAGGGTAGGAAAAAGAGTAAGCTTATTTTATATAACTGACTGAAAAATAAATTCAAGAAATAGAAAATAGAATTTAATATGGTTTCACAGGCCTGAAGGGGGTGGTGCCCAATTTGTCCAAATAATCTCCTATTTGGAACTTCTGTGACTGCTGGGTCATGGAATCATCAGTCCCTTTTCTGCCAGACACGATGCTGCAATCTCCTTTACTCGATGACCAGGTTTTTTAATATTCGTAGAAACAACTGCAAAATAGAAATGTGTGCCCTTCTTTCTAGTTTCTGGGTGTATTTCTTTTACTAAACTAGTCAGTTCTATCAAAGTCAGTTCTACCTGCAGCTCGCTGGACAGTACGTTTCCGTGGGAGAACTCATGCACCCAGTGGTGGCAGCAATTATGGGTGATGAAGACCCGAAGCAGCAGCGGGCACATCTTCTTGCAGTCAGCTGGCTTCCCTGGCTCCTTTGTCATTTCCTCCAGGGTAACCCAGGATTCCACCACCATCTTCCTCCCATGGCCCTCAAGACTCTCGCTCTGACCTCTGTCCCCTGCAGCGAGCACGAAGTCCCAAAAGACCTTCTGAATATTCTTGCCCTGAGTTGGAGCAGCCTGACTCAGGGGATTTTATCATGCCCCTGTGTTTGATTACCATGCTGGTCCCTTTCAAGAACCTATCCTGCAGCTTTAGGTCGGGCAAATGTGTGAAGCACCCCGGTGTGTACTCTGGAACTTCTTTTCCTCCCATTCCAGCTGAGCTGTATGAAGACCTAGCCCAGGTCTTTCTGCTAGGAGACAAGTCTGAGATTGGAACACCTCAACTTTCATAATTAATATTTTGGCTAAGCAGACTAAGCATAAATCAAAGTGCTTTTTGTAGCTTTGAGGAACTTTCCACCACTACTTCCCAACACACCTCCCCCTACCACACACACACATGGTTTGCTAATCCGTATGTTACAAGAGAAAATGTTCACTCTCCAGTTAGAAAAGAAACACAGCAGGAAATGAAATATGCAATGTCAGTTAAAGTCAACATTCTAAAAACATAGAAGCCTTGGTTCTCAGGACAGATTGTCTTGCTCTCACAATGCTTTTCTAAAGACTTTGGACTGAAGTCAGAGCAGAGAGTGACTGCCAAAGATCACAGCCCTCTCCCCCTCCACCCCACTCCCAGCCACCAGCAGCCACTGGGTGGTGCAGGAGACTAGCTATCAGTGCACAGTCTGACAAGTCATCTGTAGGAGACTTCAAACCCAGAAGGGACTGCCCCATGAAGAACTCACTCGCTCCTCGAGATTCCCAGCATCAAGTTCCACATTAAAAAAAAGTGAAGGAGGACCTGTCACTAAGTAAAATTATGAAGTCTGAGAATCAGGCCACTGCAAATGGGCAGGAACAGGACAGGCAGTGATGGCCTGGGACCTCACTAGATGTGGCTGTTCACAGAGCGGCCCAACAGGGAAGGGTGGGAGAGAGGAAGTGGTGGTGGAGGGAGGAGGCCAGGGCCAATGGAGTGCTGCGAGATGTGTGTGGTTTAGCTTACATGTTTGTTTTAATGGGAGAGGTTTTGAGGGTATTTATATCCTAAGGGAAAGGAGCAGTAAAGAGAAAGCGTGAAGACAAAGGAAGTAGAGAAGGGTTTATCCCGTGGGCAAGGAGCCCAGGAAGCAAGAGAGGGGTGTACTAACTGCAGACAGGGCAGACTCCTCTCCCGCAAATGGTGGTAAACACGTCTGGAGCAGCCAGCAAGCTGAGGCATTCTCAGCCTCTGATCAACAGTTTTGGTAAAGAAATGAACGTGATCACTCCCCAAGAGAGGAGGGAGATGAGGTCATGTGAAGAGTTTTGAGGTCGAAGCTGGACTAGCTGCTGAGAGGAGAGAGAAAGATTGACCAGGAGGATAGCTTGTTGACCCAAAGACCCTCTTAAACAGACAACCTGGGTATAAGTGCACCCAGAGCAGCAACCACAGGAGATTGCAAGAGAGAGTGGAGTCCCTGGGGCTATCTATGCAGAAGAGGGTACAGGTGGGAGAAGACTGAGATTGGTAGTCAAGAGAGTAACTGATCATACAAAGCATGCATCATCATATGGCCAGTTACAAAGGAAAGTGGGATCAGTCTTAGAGTTCTCACTTAAGTCCTGATCAGACATCAGACACCATTTCTAGCAGACATCCTTGTGAATTCTACAAAACAGAGAAACCCAAGTTCCAGCATGAAGCACTCAGGAGAAAACACCTTCTGGTCTGCAGATACCTGTCTAGAGAATCTCTCTCCTGATTCTCTTAAAACTTATTCGCTAGAGAACTAACTGTATCATCCAGAGATGACTCACTTGTCCCAGGTACTGCTGCCTTACAAAATGAAGGGAGAGATAAGAGCAACCCCAGAAGCAAAGGGAAAATGTGGTCCTAAGTCCACTGTCCTGTAGCACAGCCACATGTCAGGCAGTGAGGGAGTCAGGTGAGGTTGCAACAGAAGCCTTGATAGGCTCAGCATGGTAACTCAGGCACATGATGAGTGTCAGCTTCTTCATGTTGTAAAGTAAGGGACTGGTAGAGGATCAAGATAATGTCAAAGCTTCTGCCTTTATAATTCCATCATTTTATAACTTATTTATTTATTTACTTACTTAAAAGGCAGAGTTAGAGAAAAAGGCAAAGATAAGAAGACAGAGAGATTTTCATCCACTGGTTCACTCCCCAAATGGCCACAACAGCTAGGTCTGGGCCAGACTGAAGCCAGGAGTGCAGAACTCCATCAGGTTCTCCCACATGAATGACAGGGGTCCAAGTACTTGGAAAATCATTCAGTGCCTTCTCAAGCATGTTAGCAGGGAGCTGGATCAGAAGCAGAGCATTGGAACTCTAACCAGATCTCCAGTATGGGATACTGGTGTCACAAGTGGCAGCTTAACCCACTGAGCAACAACACTGGCCCCAATAATTTCATCATTTACTTATGAATTAAACAGCCATTCCAGAGTCAAAGTATCTTTGGCAACCAAAATCTACCAATTAGCAAAAATAAAATAAACATTCTGACTGGGACCCTGATTCAGCTGTCATGATTTGTTCTTTATGCTGTCAAATACAATCTAGAAAACTCTGTTCCCCACTGGGACTTACAGAGTGCAAACTGTGGGAATGATTCTAAAGGCACCCCCTCCTCAGGCTGTCTTTGAAAAGAAAAATCTTATCTCCTTTCCCTTGAAATATTTACACTTCAGTCAGGGTGGGAACACAAACCTATATGCAGCCTGGAGACTTCTCAGTATCAGTATCTACAAGAATCCTAGAGAATACTTGACTGAGTTGATCAAAATCGATTTCCCTTCTCCTCAATAATTTATTTTCCCTGAACCTGCCATTTCTTTCTCACACCTTCCTTTTCCTGTTCAGCTTTTACAATCCAGACTCATGGTCTCTCCATCTTCACCCATTATGCGGCAGCTTCCCATCATCACCCCCATCCCTACCCCATTCTGCTTTTCTTGTTCTCTCTTCTACCACTTAGAAGCAAAGCTCCTCACCTCACCCAACTTGCAAACTAATGGGGGGGAAACCAGTCATTTTCTCTACAATCTATTCTCTTTAATGACTTTCTGGCCTATGCAAATGTTATTCCTACTCCATGGAATACCCACCACCCTCTTGTCTCCATAGTAACCAGCCATTCACCTCTTCAGTTGAAGCTGAAATAGCACCTACTCTTCTCCCCAGCTGGACTCAAATGCTTGTTTCCCCATGTTTTGGCAGCACCCTCATAGTATATAACACCTGTTATTGGTAGTGGTTGCATTTGATGTTTTGGTGGTAGTGGTTTTTGGGAGTGGGGCGGGGCATCTATCCACTCACTGGAGCAGCGACTCATTTGAGGGAGGGAACCCTGTTTTCTCTCTGTAGCTCCAGTGCCCAGAAGAGCAATACCTAACTAGCAAACTAAAAGAAATGTTATCTAAGCTATATCTCAGATAATAGCACTCCATCCATTCAACTTTTCAAGCTACAAACCTGAGGGCCATCTTTGCTAATCTTTTTCTCTCTTCCCCAACTCCATCAAAGTCTTGACATATACCTCTGAAATACTCTCTCTTCTGTTCTTAACCCCAAAGTCATAGCCTCATGCCAGCCCTTGTCTTTTCTCTTTGGGCCAATAACAATAACCTGTTCACTAATATTAGTCTTCCAACTACTCACTTTGCACATCATTCCAAAAGTGATCTCTAAATATAGGTCTAATTGTTTAACTTCCCTATGCAATCCTATAAAAATCTTTAACTTCTTAGTGTGGCTTCAACTCACTTCTCCAGTGCCATGTCATTATCTCACTTCTTGCTTCTGATTTGCCTGCCCCCATCAGCCATTACCTTACCCAAGTCATAAGAACAAGTGCATGCCATATGCATTCATGTCTCTGTGCCTTTCCACATGCTGTTCATCCTACCTGGACCTCCACTACCTTTTCCCCCCAAACACACACACAAACCCTTTTGTGGCAAATTCTTATTTGTAGTAAGGGTCCAGTTCAAACATCAACTCCTCTCTGAAGCTTTTGCTGTCTGGCAGAATACATTGGTTTCTTTCACTCTGTACTCACATTATATTGTTTCAACGTGCTAATTTTAATTCAGTCTACACAGCTATTTCCCTTACAATCCTGTAAACTTGTTGGTACCACAACATCTCTTACTCACCTTTGAAGGCAGATAAGTCATATAGTACTGATATATGTGAGGCTTTTAATAAGTAGTCTCATACCTGCTAAACAGGACTGTGGAGTGTATATGCCTGGTAATATTCAAAAAGGAAATATAAAAATATTTACCTGAATACTGGTCCACAGGCAGAGGGAGAGACTAGACAATCCTTCTAGGACCCTCTCATTCTAGTGAAATTCTCAGAGCAGCTACTCAGTACTTACAAGAGACCAAGCAATATGCTAAATAAACTTTTAAATCAATCACCTTATTCATTTCTCACAACAGACCTGTGAGGGAGGCAAATTTTCCATTTCAGAGCTGAAGAAACAGAAGCTCGGAGAAAAGACTTGCCCAAGTTCCTGCACTCAGCCAGCAGCAGAGCCTCCTACAGACAGGCAAACCAACAATAAGCCTGCACACCAGGAAGCAGATCTCTTTAAAAATGGAAACACAGCAACACCCCCCTGGCCTTCAGTGAATGGGAAAGAGCAATCCACTGATAATGAATGAATGAATGAATAGAAATCAAATGGGTTTCCCTGTAGTTTAAGTGAGCTCTGGTCTCTGCTGAGATTGAGCCTAATAAAGTATTAAAAAAAACTTTAATAAAAGCAGTAAGATTCTTTTTTGTATCCCAACTGCAGTTGGAAATATCCCCTGCAGGAAATAGAAAGATTTCAGATCAGTCCCTCACATCACACTTTACTCAGCAGAATCCAAAACAAAAATCTAGATGGCCTCACTTTAAATGGTCCAATGATCCGTTAGTTACTGTGCTTTGAAATAGCTGCCAACTCGGC